TCTGCCCGTTCCGCCTTCCCCCCCCCCTCCCCTCGGTTGTGAAATCGAGCGATTTATTTTTTCTATATATTGATATTTTTATTGATATATATATTGATATTACTTTCCTGTATATAAGTAGTTGCATATAGCTCGCGTTCTCGGTCCATTCAATTTTGACGACAAATAGAATGGAACACAATGGAAAGCCGCATCGATTTTACGCGATTCTATGGGCGAATCACGTTAAAGAATTAAGGAGTACCTTCCGCTTCCCCAAGTGCAATTTCCTCGCTTTCGACGTTTCGAATATTTCGGCGCTTGTCCGAGAATGATTTACCGGCCGGTGCGACCGCGGACGAGTTCCGCGCGATTGCATTCTATAAAAGCGTAGCGCGGAAACGAAACGCGCGGTCGGCCCGGGTCGAATCTTTCCAATTTATTTTCCGGGGGATGATTCTCGGCCGTGAACAGCGAGCACGCGGGACGTTTTCGAACCATCGGTTTGTATTTGGATTTCATTTATAAACCGGCCAAGTACCCTGGCTGAAAATATGCTCGATGTCGCTGTCGCCGCGCGCCGAAGATTAATCGGGTTTCCCAATGCGAAGACAGGATAAATCTCCCTTTATCGCGTTTACCGAAACGGGATGGATTCCCGTCGACGAGGGATATCGCCGATCTACGAAAATGGATTGGCTGGGACTCAAACGACGGAAGCGTTTTTATCTTCGCGCGTCCGCTAACTGTAATTTAACATTTCGCGATGAGGTGTTTCGCATTTTGAGGAGAAACGATCGTTTTTCACGAACCGCCAAGTGATCTCGCAAATTAAGAAACGCTCAGGCAAATTAATAAGTAAACATTTTAACTCCTGTACACTCTTAAGCGTGTACCGCCAAGAATTGGAGTTAAAATAAAAAGTATACGTAATTATGAGGTACATAAAAATGCACCGAAATAGGAGGGAAGATGGTATCTCGAAATTAGGAGTCTTATTTTCAGGAGAAACATGTCACAGAAACATGTCTTGTTGGTGGATGCCCACAATTGATCCGCATTACAGAGTACAGTCGAAATTTAATTCTTGGCACTGGCCACTCTGGGAAAAAAAAGACAGCAACCCATTTTGCGGCCCACAATTGGTAATCAAATTATTTGAATTGTTCGTACCCTGGGAAAAATTTTGACCGTATTTCTGTAATTAAGCAACTTAACATTTCAGTTAGTGCGTCTTAAGCGAAATTTATCTTCGCGTTACTGAATGTCGATATAATTAATTAAGAGAATTGATTAGTATTACTCTAAAATCTTGGATATAGATAGCTAATTCCGATTTTTAGTTACGCGGGGTAAACGATTAAGAGTTACGGACAATCCAAATAATTCGATTACTAATTGCGGGCCCCAAAATGAGTTGCTGTCTTTTTTCCCCAGAGCACGAAAAATGCCTCGAATGTCTATATTACAAAACACGTCCATAATGTATGTAATGTGCACTTCGTGTCTTTAGCCGACGCGATCACGCACGTGTGGCACAACGAAGGAAGATAATAACAAAAGCTGTCTCTCGTTGGCATGGAGACAGGCATTTGGAGGTACATTGTACCTCGTACTACTGTAGGAGATACGTACGGGAACCATTTGTACCACCTAAAAAATGTACCGTGAATTTATATAGACGGTACCTCGAGCGGTACCTCCAATCGTCTGATCGTTATATATTCATTATTACCTCATATATGTTGTACCTCGTATTAATATCCTAGCGAAAAAAATTTCTATAAATAACTACACAAATTAACTTGAAATAGAAATTTGTAGAAATTTTTATATCTTCGTCGAAACGTTAATTTTTCTGTGAAAATATATTTTGTAAAAATTTTTATAAAAATAGTATCACAAATTACAATGTTCTCCAATCAAGAAATTATTGCAAGTAGTATTTCATGAAAATGTACAATTTTGTAAAAATTAGTACAAAACTTTACTAGTTTTAAAAATTTGAGAAACAACAAATTTGCTTACTTGTAGAATATTACTTGTAAAATTAACAAAGGTGCTCCAATTCTAGCGTGTTGATTTTTATAACGCTTTAAATTTACGTAGAATTTCTTAAATTCTTATTTTATAGTTTTGTAGAATTTTGTAGAATTCTTTCCGGCAGGGTATACCGAGAAAAATATCCTTCTATCAGCATGTAACTCAAATCTCAATTATACTTAAAAAATTGTACTACCTTTCCTCCTATTTTGGTGGATTTTTATGTACCTTATAGTTACGTATACTTTTCATTTTTACGTGTACCTCGAATTTGACGGTACTACGCGATACAAGATTAAGAGTGTACACTTCTCTCCGTATGAGACTGAAATTTTATGTCATCTTAAGATTAAAAATAATGAAATAAAGTTAAATAGAACCATTATGATATAAATCAAGCAAGCGAGAGCGCCTTTAGGTCCGAGCAAGACGTTGGTAGCCCAATAATTGTAATCTAAACTGTGAATTTATATACCATTTTCCACCTTGTCCTGCGCGCCGGTTTCTTTTCGGACATAACACAGTTTCATTTAGATGGCATTTAAAATAATTAGAAATCGTTTATCGATTTTACTGTGTGAATTCACTGACGATTCCATCTAAATAAAACTGTGTTGTGTCCGAAAAGAAACCGGCGCGCAGGACAAGGTAGAAAACGGTACAGTACCGGCCAATAATATACCTTTCGATTTTTTGAGCACAACTAATTTTAAAGTGCACGAATGAAAAGTTCGAAAATCATGATGTACTTTGTCAAATTTCATTATCTTTCGTGTACAAGATGTATCTGTTATCAGGTGTCTACTGTAAAATTTTGAGCACGTTCGGTGCGCTTCGACGGAAGTTATGCTCAGAAAACGTAAAAGTGATATACTTTTGGCCGGTACTGTATATGAATTCACATTTTAGATTACAATTATTGGGCCGCCAACATCTTGCTCAGACCTAAAGGCGATCTCATTTGTTTAACATGAATTTAATTTTATTTAAGTGCATTCTTTACTTCGGTACGATACCAGGATTTTTTTCACAGAAACGCGTCGAAGACACTTTGCAAAAGCGTTCTAATATTGCAAATTTCTTCGGATGTTGTTTCAAGCTTTCTTGTATATCGAAATATTTTGTCACATACAAGTATTATGAATTTCGCAAGAACGCCCAGGCGATGAAAAATCCCCGAATACAGCTAACTCCGTGCATCGCATAGTAAATTAGTTCGCTGCGTACGAGTCTGCCGGGAAATCCGGCAGACGTGTACGTTAGCGAGGAACTTCCTGCCGGAAGATTTCTTGCCAAATCATTTGAGCTTGCAGCAAATTGCAACAAGTTTGGCGATTGAAACTTTCAAGACCCGGCCAAAGACAATATAAGACGGCCGGGTGTCGTGATTAGAAATTGAAGGGAACGAAGGGCGAAGATATCGCGACATATGTGTACGAGTGCGATTAATCTTGCGCGATTACTACAAGTTTTACGGATTCTTGCCAGAAATTCCAAATACCGTTGATCCAGAAAAGAATCCATGAATCAAAATTAATACTCAGACTTTCATAACGTTTACACCTTCTAAGTTTTTGGTAAAATTGAAAAACCCTCTCTCTCTCTCTCTTTCGTGTACAAATTTGGATAAATTGCATTGATCTTTTTAAATTACAAATTTAACTAGAAATGCGAAGTGCTGATTGTTGGATTTTGTTACATGCTTTTAAATGAAAACGATGCGTGACAAAATACAAAATAAAATTGCACTTCTAAGTCAATATCGCACAAATGGTAAAAATACTCAAAGCTAAAATTATTATTATTATTCATACACATGATTAAAGAGCAAAAACGTACGTGCAAAGCTTTTGTTCATCAAACGTTCGTCAAACTAAATTGAAAAAAAAAAACGATATCTCTGGATCTTTCCTAACACAGAAATTATTATCAATTGTACAACTATTTAAAATGTCAAACGTCGGAGTACTCGAAGGCAATTATTTTTATAGAGAAGCGCTTTTGACGGAGCACTTCCTCCATTGTTCAAGCGCATCCGCGGCGCAATCGTTTATTAAACGGCGACAGAGATCTCTGATCATTACAGTTTTTCCAGTCGCAGATGCTGTCGACGCAAAGCCGACGTTTCTCCGCCACGTCGATTCGTTAGAGAATATCCGTAACGAAGCGTGCGCAGCGCGTTTCGCCCTTTCGTTCGGAGCTATTATCGCGGCGGCGTGTCGCATTGCAAACCGCAGCTATCGTTTTCCATTACGCCGTATAGACGTAACGATCTGAACAATGCTCAATTAACAAGGCATGCACACGCGAGCCGAGCCACGCGTAGCTTTTACGAATCGAATCAGAGTGTAGCGCGTGATGACATCGATACATCAATCTGCTCTACAAAGGCGGACAGGTGCGCGTGCAAATTCGAAAGGTTTGAAAGGCGAACGTTTGAAAAATTTTCTATTTGAAAAACGAGTGTCGAGAGGGACGAATTTTTTATTCCATTAAAATTTGTATCTGTCGCGCTAATCCGCGCGTCCGCCTCTCCCCTAACACCGTAAAAAATTGCTGGCTATCTAGAAAAATCATTTTTCCATTTCGCGCGCAAAGGGAAACGAGAATTAATTTTCCAATCAACAGAGCTTCGCGCTCTCCCCTCGTAATTAACATCGTTAATTGCTAATTAAGTAGACGTCATAATACAGATTATCGATGGAGAAAGCAGCGGATAAAATTACCGTACACGCCGCCTTTCGAGAAAGCAACAATAACTGTCGGTCTCGTACGATCCTTTTGTCATTCGAGATATCGAAAATTTGTCTTCGCTTCATGAAACAATATCGCGGATAAAAGTGCGCTTGAATGAAACAACGTCAATCGCTCCGATGGCTTCGGGAGAGACCGAGCAAATTTCTATTCTCATCTGGAACATCGTGCAGCTCGGATGTCGAAGGGTTGGGGAAATACGAGAGAGATGTTAATGGACTTACTCAATGTCGCATTGTTGACACGCGACTGGTCCGTCTGCGATCTGAGTAATCGCAGTCGATTCAGCTTGCTCTGTTGCTGGTCCAGCTTGTGCCTCAATCTAGCGAGTCTGTCCTGCTGTGCTGGCTCCTGAAACGGTAAACAGTGCGTGAACGCGATCGCTCTGTAGTGATCTATGCGCTGAATATACAGTCGACACGGCGAACGGCGGTGGACTGAGATAGAAATGAAAATGGGACCTCAGCAACGTTGTCCGTGTTTGCAAAATTTTTAATCAAACAACTTAACTTCGAACGGTGTATCTGTCGACTTTTCACGGTTTGATTCCGAAACGTCGGTACTCCGGCGGATCAATCTACGTGTCGAAACAACCGGAAGAAAAACGCCCCCTCGTAGCTTCTTACTCGCGAGTTTAATTCCGCCATTATCAACTTTGATGGAATCGCGAAACGAGATTACGCGAACCCGGGGGGGAATAGGTCCGCCGGGGGGGGGCGGGGGGGACCCATTCCCTCTTCGAGACCGCTCCTCGAGATCAAGGCTGCTCAGTCGTGAAGGTCATTGTAACGGTAACTGCACAAGCGTACCTATCGACCTCCCTCGCTGTGATCTTCGAGCGAGAGAGAACGCGCGCGGCGTACGCTCGAATCGTCGGGGGTTGACGCATCAAACGCAAACGTAATTCCAGAACGAATCGCTGAATCACGCAGGTGTTATCCTTCGATTCGAAGTTGACGCTCTTCCGATGGCACTTCTCATCGGTCGAATCAAGAAGCGTCAATGGTGATTCCAAGTGGCGCTTCATCGTAATCCGCGAAAACGATAGGGGAATAATGAGACTCACCTGTGCGCCTCGAAGCACGGCTAAGCGGGCCTCTTTCTGCTCCAGGAGGCGCCTTTGCTGAGCGATTTCCCGCTGCTGCCTGGCCGCCATGCTTTCAAGCTCGCTGAGCACCAGCACAGCACCACCCCCGCCCACTGCTAACTGAAACAGCGAGATTAAATGCACGTAAGCATACGAATGTGTGCGCTAAGGTAAAACGACGGCGACGAGGTGCGCGCGAGGGCAGGTACGGAGCGGGCGACAGGCGGCGCCGAATCGGCGATTAATTACATCTCGAATATCGGCTTTCGATCAACGGCCTTCGCTGTTTCTTGGCCGCCCGCGAATGCTTCCGCAGAACGCACCGGGCGTAAAAGAATTACGTGTCGTTGTTTGCTCAGCTGCCTCCGCAGGCATTTTTTTTTCAAATATACCGAAAAATGCTCACCTTCAGCCTCAGATTCAAGACTGTCTTATTTCTCGTATCAGTATGTACTATTCGTCAAAAGAATACAAATTTTTTTAAAAAATATGTAATACATTAAATATATATGTTAATATATTAAATTTTTTCTCGAGTAGAATGTTTAAAAATAAAAAAATTGAAGCTTGAATTCTTTATCCTGAAAGTTCCTACATCCTTTGTAAAGATAAATCTTACATCTCCACACACATTTCCATAAGAAAGGAAAAGAAATTCAAGGAATTTAAGCCGGAAGACGCGAGGATCAAGCGAGGACGTGGTCGTACCGACGTATCTCGGTTCTATTTACCCTTTACCGAAATTCTGACTTAATTAGTGGCTGCGAGTATCAAAGCGGACGCAAGATGGTAATCGTCGTTTACCGCGCGCGACGGATAGAAACTATCAAAGTCACTCGCATTATCGAAACTACGAATCTCTCCGGTCTGTAACCGGGTCGTTGATCAAGAATCATTCATTTGCGTGCTTTCTAAATCCTTTTGCAACGTCGGGGGAGCGAGTGCGAATCCCACTGTGGGGAGAGCGCTGGAGAGGACCCATATTGACTACGTTTCCACCGAGGGCCAGAGTCGGGTCAGAGTCGGGCTGGGGTGAGCGCTTCGGTGGACACACCAAATTCAAACCTGTGAACCCTACCTTGCTAAATTTTAAGGTGAAACAGAATCGAGGTCAATCAGAAAGCTACCCATTACTATTTAACCTGTTGCCAACACTACAGGAGCCTAACAAGACTCTTGTCGTTTCCACCGAACCACATTTGGTCCACCGACCCTCATTAACCTTAAAATTTTATAAGGTAGGGTTCAGGTTCGGGTTTGGCGTTTCCAAGAGCGCTCACCCCACCTCTGACCCTCGGTGGAAACGTAGTCAGTGTAAAGATGCAAGGTGAAACATGGCGCATGTAACCCATTTTTGGGGGAAATTGTTCACCGGTTCTTCCCTGCATTCACCCGCAATGATTTGCAGTTTGAAGGTTGGGGCAAATATTTCTCATCGGTCAATTTGGTAGCTCGGGCCACTTCTGATTGGTTGACACTGCGCCTCCACCGGATTGCTTCACCTTGTATCTTTACACCGTGGCTGGAGCGATCCGGGCGATGTGTGTTGCGCGCTCGCGGCTCTTTTTGTTTCATCTCCCGTGCCACCATCTGGAGAGAGCCCGACCGCGCCGCGCCGCGCCCGATACCAGGTAGAATCCCAAGGTCGGCGTGCGGCCCTTCGAATTCCACCGTGACAAGGACTCCGTGCAACCTTCGTACGTCAATGAAAGTGCGCCGACGACGGCGGCAGGTAGGCCGGGCCCGCAAAATAAATGCGCACCGAATGCGCGAGCACGCGCGATGAAAATATCGGCGCGGTCCGCCCGGACCGGTCCTCCCCGCGGAGAACCCTGGATCGTAAAGAGGGTCGGGATTTTCCTCTTTCGTTTCTCGATTTTGTTCCGCTTGCCGATCGAGATAAAATGCGCTCTTGCGGAAATACGCTTGCGCTTGTACATTTACCCTTTTACTGCGTGCTTCTTATTGCGTTTTTACATCCGGCAGCCGCAAAAGTATAAAAGCAAAACTCGCGCCCGCCGCCCTTTCCGATATTCGTGACCGCGGTACAGTAAAAGCTTCTGTCGCGCGCGGCTTATTGTTTGATAAATTATCCGTGTCCCTTTTTTCGTGCTCAGAAGTTGAATTAGTAACGCTTTGCATCTCTGTTCGCAGAAACGTCCTGACAGCCGTTTGAATAAAATACGGGGAATAAAAGGTGGGCGCTTTTAAATATCAAAAGAACGAAACGATAAGAGAGGCCGCCTCCTTTCGGACTTCCGAGACAATCGCGGCCACCGAAGTTACCCGTGGGCTCAAAGTTCCGAGGCCGCGTGTATAATTCAAGTAATGGATAACGAGGATCAGAGCCGTCTGTCGGAAGTTGGGGAGGGTAGTAGAGCCGGAGTATCTGGCGCGAGTACATCGATAGCTCCGGACAATATGTTATTGTTAAAGTTAATCTTCGCCGTGACACAATCCTCCGCGCCGACCGCGTCTCCCGGCGCGAATCAAGCGGTCTCGAAGCGGCAGTTACAGCGAAAGTATCGCGTCGCTCGGGACAATAACGACGCGTCGTTGGAACGGGAAAGATAATATAATACGGAGGACGCCTTTTCTCTCTCTCTCTCCCTCTCTCGGCGGAGCCGCCGCCCCCCCCCCCGTTCCAGCTTCTGCCTCTTTTCATTCCGCGCGCGCTCACTCGCGTGACAGTTAATTGTTTCGAGCAGGCTGCGCGAGCGCGGTCGAGAATGGCAAACGGCGAGCGGAGCGCGGCGGCTGCGTCGTACGTATCGCGCGATCGCCAAGAGAAATGAAAAGGGAGCCGTTTCCCGACAGCTCCGCTTCCCGGCGGAACGAACGACTCGCCTCCGATCCCATTCAATTTCATTATCCCGCCATTCCGTTATGATATATACGGTTGGCTACGAGATACATACATTATGCTTCATTAACCCGTAAAAACGAACGCTCAGAGCTTTCTGGGTTACGCGCCCGAACACGTTTCACGCTCCACGCGTGCCCCAGTGGTATTTCCCTCTGTCTTGACAAACACGTATATCTAAGAGGCATCTTTAGGACGTCTTTGAGTCACCCTTTAGATATGTATGTCTAAAAGGCGACTTTAAGTCGCCTTTTAAGCGTCGTCTACAATAACCGGCGTAAGCGTGGAGTAAGAAGTAAGAGTAGGAGTAACGTTTTTGGCGTAAGCTGTTTACGCCGACTCAATCTACAATACGGTGAAGTAGGTGTTGTAGGCATGCGTGAAAAGGCGTAAGAGTAAGAGTAGGCGTAAGAAATAAAAATAATTCATTTCGCTTACGCCCTTACTCCAGCTCTATTAAACCGGAAGTAGCTCTCTTACGCCTGCTCTTACTTCTTACTCCACGCTTACGCCGGTTATTGTAGACGACGCTTTAGACGTGCGTGCTGTATGGGGCGTTTTGCGCGATTCAAGTATCCTCTGCTTATCGTCCAAAGTTGGATGTAAAAAATAGTTGTTTGCGACTATCAGAGGCGGAAATCTCGGGGAAAACGCCGCGCTTCTCTCGAGGAAGCCTGTTTAATTTATACCGAGCGCATTCTTGCACGTCCCCCTCATCCATTTATCTTCGGGAATACTTTCGACAAAAGATAATTGCGCGCGCCACAAGAGAACGATAGTCGCAATCCTTTCGCGCCGAGTCCCCCCGATTGAGCTGCTCGGAAAGAAATGTAAGAGGGAAAAAGGTAATCTCGCCGACCGATAACCGAGCAGAATTTCGTTTCCGTGCGTGAATGGGCAGGAAAGTTGCGAAAAGATGTTCCCTCGAGGGAACACGTAAACGAAAAAGAAATTTCTCATAGAGGCGGATTCTTGTAGGAGCGGATAATCCCCGGGGGATGATCCGCCCGGACTATCCCGCTGCAAAATTAATTTCGAGGAGCCTGAAAACAGGTAGCGCGGAAGAAGCCGTAATCGGCAGTTTGTTCGGCTCGAGGCGCCTCTCGGGTTGAGGTCTCTTCTTTTTCGGGCGCAGCCATTCGCGAAATTAATGAAAGCGAGACTCATCGCCACGTGAAGGATGAAACGCGGAAGAACAGAATTATGTAATTAACTCGCATTTTCCCTTCCCGACTGCAATAGTTTTAATATAATTGTCGCTCGCAGCCCCTTCGTAAATTTCGAGCTAAGAAGAAAATACTTCGGACGTCCGCGGGACGTTCTATAAAGCTCTCTTGAATCATATAAAAATTGACTCTTTACAATACCAAATCTGTTAGAGAAAGAGAGAGAGAGAGAGAGAGAGAGAGAGAGAGAGAGAGAGAGAGAGAGAGAGAGAGAGAGAGAGAATCGGAAAATAATAACTCTCGCGCGACCGTTTGTCAGTACTGGGCTCAATGGGTCTCTATAGATTGACAATTTTCAAGTAAGATTGTATCATGCGTTGTATCGAGTCTTAACAAAATTGTATTATTCACTATACCAGTAATTTTACCGTTTCAAGCGTAGCAAACGCGGATGATGATCTGTAAATAT